TGAGGGTGGAGCCCTCAATAATGGCATTATTGCTTTGATAAAAGAGACCCCGTCAAGCTTCCTAGCCCCTTACACCATGGCACAAGGATACTGGGAGACATCTCCGGCCCAGAAGAGGGCTCTCCCCTGACCACACCAGAATCCTGATCTCAGACTTCCAGCCTCCAGAAGTGTGAGACATAATCTCTGTTGTTTATATGCCACCCTGTCTGTGGTATTTTGTTATAGCAACTGAACAAACCAAAGCACCCTTCCTCCTGGCAGTGAAAGCTAGCCTAGAGTTCTTTGGCCCTCTGACTGTACAAAAATTAAGGTGCCCTCCAATATCCAGAATTTCCTAAATCAATAGTCTGTGTAATTAAACTTATGTGAATTGTTGGTTATAGCTGTTTTTGTTTTGTACTGAGATAAATGGTATGTGGGCTTTGAAAATTGTTCCTGCCTTTTCTAAGCATTCCTCCCCCCAGAGCTGAGAACCTTCTGTAATCATTACCTGTGACACCTTAAGAATTTTTTTTTTTATTATAACAAAGCAGAGTGCATAAAAGATTTTTAATGAAAGGCGTAGTCTTCGGAACTGAAACTACTTTACCAGCCTGAAGCCTTGGAAAATGCTAATACTCAGTATATTGAAAGGACAGCCAGCTTAGCCTCCTTAATGCCCATTTGCCTGAATTTATGAGATATCATTCTTTTCAGTTTGGTATTTTTGAAATTATCCAGCTGGGAGTGAGTCAATTTTTTTTTTTTTCCTGTCACTAATTCATTAAAAATGCCAGTCCCACAGAGCAACTCAAGTGAGACCATCTGCCTTTGAGAAAACCATAAATAACCCAAAGAACAAGAGGGACTCTACTCTTTGGACCTGAGCTGGGACTGATATGTTTAGAAAGGAGGGCACGGCTTCCAAGCCCAGCTCACTTGATTCCACTCCAGCTCCTTACTCCCTTACCTGGTGCGAATGCAAGCCATTTGGGGCTTCAGCTATTTCATTGGAAAAGGATTAATGACACTGACCTCTCAGGGCAATTTAGGCCCTTAGAATTAACCTGCTTGCTTTTATGAACTTAGGTCTTCCCTGGTGTCCTAGAGGGTAAAGCATCCACCTGCAATGCGGGAGACCCGGGTTCAATCCCTGAGTCGGGAAGATCACCTGGAGAAGGAAATGGCAACCCACTCCAGTACTCTTGCCTGGAAAATCCCATGGAAGGAGGAGTCTGGGAGTCTGCAGTCCATGGGGTCGCAAAGAGTCGGACATGACTGAGCAACTTCACTTTCACTTTTATGAATTTACGGAGGTGTACTATGAAGACTGGAAGCCACCCCTTTACCCTCTGAGAAAGTATTGGGAAGGATCTTGGTTTATGAGTTCTTGTATCAGTAGGAAATGACCATGTTTTCAAATAAAACTGATTTGATCTTTGCTCAGAGACATATAAGGTAAATTATTAGAGGGTAGTTTTTCAAATAGAGTCATCTTTTCAATGCTTAGGAAAAATGAATTTTTTAAAACTATTTCTTCTAAAAAATGGTTTACAGTGAAATTACCTGAATGCTTGGAGAAAAATAGTTGGCGGAAGAGTGAAAGATGTAGTATTCATTCATCCAACATATGGTACAAGTGTTTACTACATTGTAGCCATCTTTCTAAGTGCTTAGTGTCCTGCAGGGAACAAAACTGGTCCAAATTCCTGTCCTCTTGGAGCTTACCTTCTTGTAGAGGAGATAGACAATAGAGACAGTAAGACTACTGTAATAAATGATATAGTGTCAGGGAGGGTGCAAACTCTATAGAGAAAAATGAATTAGGGAAGAAGGTAGGGGAACTGAAGTGAAACTCTAATGCACAAAAGAAATGCTGATTATGAGCTAAGCTTGCAAGTTATTTAAAGGCCACTTTTCAAAATCTGGGTTGTATCGGAAACATTCTGTTTTAGTTTCCTGAGGTGATGACAAAAATGTCACTGTATAAAGATCCCGCTCTCGTTTGATTCTGCCTACATAAAAATGTCTAGAATTCTTGCCAACTTAAGTTAGGACTCTATAGCATAAAATCTCAACAGATTTACTTGATAAGAAGAACCCAAGAGTAGTTAAGCCTGTTGATACAGAATTGCTGTTTTTACATTCCCTATAATTAAAGTGATAAAATCTTTGCTTCTTTAATGGTGAAGAAGTTACACCCTGAATTATTTCAGTGCCTAAATAGGTACAAATCATAAATCTGGGACTGACTTCACCAAGGCACCCAGCCAGATAATGACCTGCTGTGTACTACCAAGCAATAAATAAAATACAACCTTTCTGACATGAAGAAAACAAACCCAAAATATACCCAGAGCATTCATTATAACTTCAAAGTTAATTGGTAAACTTTCCTTGATTTGAAAGAAAAGAAAAGGCTCTATAAGATCCAGTTGAATTTGCCTTGAGGTAAACAGATCAATTCTACAGGATGCAGAAAGATTCTATAGAACAGTTGGTAAACAGCAGATGAAGTGAACTAAGTTAACCATATGTGAATAACACGATCTTGTAACAATTTTAAGTGAGTCATCTGCATGACACACTAGAGGATTTTTAATGCCAAATGGTCTTATTAGCCAACAGGAATTTGATAATCATTCTAAAGAGAGCAAAATCACATTTCACACTCTGTTCAGTTTGGAGAAGGTCACCTAGGTTTCCCGGCTCCAGCACAGCCTTTTCTTGCACTCCTTCTCCTGTTTTGGAGGGAGGGCTGTACCTTCTGATTGCTGCTTGGAAGCAATAAAACCCACTGCAACTTTGTTTGCTTTATGCTGAAACAAAATAAAATGAATAAGCAAAAGCGATACACTCAAGAGTCACACTAATACACAAAAGATTGTACTGTTGTTGATGGAACCAGATTTTACCTTCTAGATCCAGTTGAATTTGCCTTGAGGTAAACAGATCAATTCTACAGGATGCAGAAAGATTCTATAGAACAGTTGGTAAACAGCAGATGAAGTGAACTAAGTTAACCATATGTGAATAACACGATCTTGTAACAATTTTAAGTGAGTCATCTGCATGACACACTAGAGGATTTTTAATGCCAAATGGTCTTATTAGCCAACAGGAATTTGATAATCATTCTAAAGAGAGCAAAATCACATTTCACACTCTGTTCAGTTTGGAGAAGGTCACCTAGGTTTCCCGGCTCCAGCACAGCCTTTTCTTGCACTCCTTCTCCTGTTTTGGAGGGAGGGCTGTACCTTCTGATTGCTGCTTGGAAGCAATAAAACCCACTGCAACTTTGTTTGCTTTATACTGAAACAAAATAAAATGAATAAGCAAAAGCGATACACTCAAGAGTCACACTAATACACAAAAGATTGTACTGTTGTTGATGGAACCAGATTTTACCTTCTTTTCAGTCAGATATAAGATTCCTGAATTTTATATTCTCTTCCAAGCAATTAGAATATTGTTATGCAGCAAGGAGACAGCCTGTTGAGAGGAAGTGTAGTTCCACCCATGTTTAATATGAAATCCTTGTCCCCATAGTGAAAGGTCTTACCAAGAGGTAAAACTTGGTTTTTGAGGTGCTTTAAAGCTGACGAAGAAATCTTGATTAGGGCTACAAAGGACTTGACTGTGCTTCCTTTCCTGTTGAAGATGTGGCCTCCCTAGTGCTGAGTTTGCTTAAAGAATCAAGAGATCACAGTGTTTGTAAATAATCCTTGTTAAGCAGAAGCCCATAGACTGGGGAGAATAAGGAATTCCCCCCTCCCCCAATACCACGTAGGTCTGAGTATAAAAGGGCTTCCCTGGTAGCTCAAGTGGTAAAGAATCCGCTTACAGGGCAGGGGACCTGGGTTCAATTCCTACGTCAGGAAGATCCCTTGGAGAAGGGAATGGCATTCTACTCCAGTATTCTTGCCTTGAGAATTCCACGGACAGAAGTACCTGGCGGGCTACAGTCCACAGGGTCACAAAGAACTGGACACAACTGAGTGACTAACACTCACACACTCACACACACACCCTGAGTATAGAAGGGCCAGGATATAGCAAGAATTGAACTTTTCTTTTCAGCCTAACATACCTCTACCCCAGAAGGGAATATGAGTAGCTGCTGTGTATCCTGGGAGTAAGGGGAAAACTTCCCTACAATACCCTGAGTCTCATGTTGATCTGTGGACAACATTCACTCAGTTCTGCATCTTTAGGAATGTGGAAAAAGAAGTATGTGTCAGACGTCCCCCCAAACTCTCAGCCCTGCAAGACCACAGTAACAGTGGCCTCCATATGTGTTTTTAATGTTTCGACCTTTATTTACACAACCATCTCATCATATTCTTGTGTATATTTCTTTTAAAATGGCAAAAATAAATATGCATATAAAATGCTGTGGTTACGTGTAAATGAAGTCCTGGAAAGACAGTTTATTTTGTAGACAGATTACCTCCAAATCTGAGAGCTTTTATCAAAAACATTCAACAGAGTTTGTATGCTTTGCATCCTAAGCCAACACAGAGCAAAAATAAAATGTTGAGCCAAATTTTCTTACCTCAACTGTTTGCTTATTCCGAAGGAGGTATGTTTAGACTGACATTGCTTCATTTAGCTACTAAAGAAACAACTGAGTTGTATGTAATTACAATGTGCAATATGAAATTAAATATTTATTAGATGTACAATGTGCACGATTTCTCATCCTGGGCATTATTAACATTTTGGGCCGGATACTTGTTTGTTGTGGAGTACTATGCTAGAATTGGGCTTCCCTGGTAACTCAGACAGTAAAAAAAAGTTTGCCTGCAATGCAGGAGACCCGGGTTCAATCCGTGAGTTGGGAAGATCCCCTGGAAAAGGGAATGGTTACCCACTCCAGTATTCTTTCCTGGAGAATTCCGTGGACAGAGGAGCTTGGCGGATTATAGTCCATGAGGTCACAAAGAGTGAGACACGACTGAGCAACTAACACTTTTACTTTTCTTTCACTTCACTTCACAATGCTGGGCACTCTAGGATGTTTAGCAGCATCTCTGACTTCTGCCCATTGGATACCAACAGTCCCTCCCTAACCCCCAGTTGGGGCAACCAAATATGTCTCTATACATTGCAGATGCCCTCTGTAGGACACTATGTAGTACATTGGCATGTACTACAGTGGATAAATATAGCTACAGTATAGGACAGAGGTTTTGAATGATGCAGACAAGAACTGCAAGAGTTGGGACCGAGGGTAAGGAGCATGTATGAGGAAGAGGTGAGATTTAGTAACTCCTGAAGTTTGTGTCGGATTTGGGATTTAATCTGTGGCTTGTTTATTGGCTTACCTATAGTGGTATCCTTTGCAGTTTGATATTTGTATTTGAAATATGCCTTATTGGTTTCAAAGATGTTTAAGTTGCTAACTATGCCAAAATTATAACATGTACATTAATTAAAAATTGGGGAAATTTAAGTAATTTGTACTTCTTTTTTTAAACTTAAAGACTGAATTATTTCTGAACTTAATCGTGTGGCTTTTTAGGAATTAGAGCAGCTAGAGGTAATTGGAATGGGCATAAACTCGCTGTTTTCCACTTACAAATGCCACAAAACAAAGCCACTTGGCACTGTTTGACTGAAAGGGAAACACTGTAACAGATTTTGTGTTAGTAATGTTACTTTTTGGCAGGACCTCCGGACTTGTCAGGTTATTTAAACATTTTATTCTCTCCACCATTCATCTTTTACAGATCAAAATTGTACACACTTATCTCTCAAATATTTGTTCAGCCTTCGATGTGGTTTTAACTTTGAAGACGTCACCTTTTTCAGAGGAAATGATCTGCTTAAATTGTGTCGTGTTTGAAAAAAACAGATGTTATCACAGACTGCTGTGTTAGAATGTCATTCTCTTTGTCATAGCATCCCTCGTTAAGTCTGATTGAGCAAGTCAGCTATGCATTTAACCAAGTGTATGAGATTGATCATGATTCTGTGTTCTCCAACTTCCTGGCTCTGAGTTTCCAAAAGAGAAATCTTCTAGGAAAACATGCTCTTAAATTCTTCTTCAAATGAATTGTCATTCTCCACCAGGTACAATAATTGTGTTATATCAAAATCACTGCAGAGCAAATTAAATTGGATGACTACGGCAGAAGTTGTGTTTGGATGTTAACCTTACTACAGATGTGCTACAAATCATATTAGACCGTAAGTTAGATTACTTCATAGGTCACACATCTAAATAATTCAATGCATTCAACCCGTGTAAATTTATGAGTTGCAAATACTCAAGATGGCAAAATACACACATTATCAATGACATAACTTGTACAGGACCCAGTACCTAATAAATTCTCAAGAAACATTTGTGGAATTAAACTCTTTATATCCATTTCTGTCCTGGAGTATGGTGTATAGAAGGCATTTTGAACTGTAAACTTTGCTTCAATAGTTTGTTCTCACTTTGACTCTGGCCCTGGACTTCTGTTATTAATTATTAACAGAAATTCTCTTGAAATTACTTTTCAAGGAGAATTACATGAATAAGAAAGTAGTTGATCTGTCTCTGTCTGATTCAGCTATACTAGAAGGCCAGGTAATAGCCCTAATATTTCTTAGGGTGCCTTCTAGTGCTGTACTTGATTCTAAAGTCATATGGCAAAAATGGCTTACTTCAGAGTCTGTGTTAAGTCACTGTGGTAAGATGAAAGATTCAGTTTATGGTTTTAGATAGTGCTTACAGGGAGAAAAGTTTGACTATAAATTCAATAAAAGGTACTAGAGTATTTAGAAAGGAAGCACCTGTATTCAATATCATTTTTAAATGGGTGAGGAGTACCGGATGTTCTCTGTGCTCATTCTTTTTTTTTTTTTTGGTACATCTTATCTCTCCTTGTTTTAACAAAACTATGAAATAAGTTAAAACTCCTTCACATCGAGGCAACAAAAATAAAAAAAGAGAGCAAATGACATGACTGCTAGATCAAGCAGCACCTAAAATAATTGCCATAAGTTATTTGGAGATTTCTGGTGAATTAGATTGCAGGAATGTTCATGATAAAAGTGGCATCTGTCATTTAAAAACAATATAATTTATTTAAAAATGGATCCGAGTGTACTGCTTAGATTGACAGGTCTTTAAATTTTGATGATAATTTTATCACTACCTCCCCCAAGCCCCAGTATTTTAAGTGCCATTTGCTTTGGGATTTTCCTTGAATTAAAAATTGAACAATCTTATTGCAGTGCAGAGAGGATTTCATTACTTTCAGAGGTGACCTTCCAGATTCTATTAGGACAAGAAAATAGCCTTTAACAGCGTCCCTCAAAACCTATCTTCCTGTACTGGCTTCACCTCATTCTGGCACCTCCAAATACTCTAGAAACTCTTTGATATTTCCCCCTCCCTCTGTCCTTTGCATTCAAAGTCAGTAATACATGTTAAATTTGTTTGGAAATCTTCTTTATCATTTTGTTTGTGTGATTCTTCCACTTGCATTTTGTTGCCTCAGCTCTTGAGGTTGAGTTAGATAAGGATTGAATATATTTTGTCATTCAGTCTCTCAGTCGTGTCTGACTCATGGACTGCAGCACACCAGGCTTCCCTGTTCTTCACCATCTCTCGGAGCTTGCTCAAATTCATGTCTGTTGAGTCAGTGATGCCATCCAACCATCTCATCCTCTGTCATCCCCTTCCCCTCCTGCCCTCACTCTTTCCCAGCATCAGGGTCTGTCTAATGAGTCGGCTCTTCACATCAGGTGGCCAAATTATTGGAACTTCACCTTCAGCATCAGTCCTTCTAATGAATATTCAGGATTGATTCCCCTTAGGATTGATGGTTTGACCTCCTTGCAATCTAGGGGACTCTCAAGAGTTTTCTCCAGCACCGCAGCTTAAAAGCATCAATTCTTTGGCGTTCAGCTTTCTTTATGGTCCAACTCTCACATGTATGAATATGATGCTATTCCTATGTAATTTCCCAGAGAGTTTAATTCATATCCCTCTATCTAATGGACATCTGGTAATGTTAACTGGTTCTTTCTGATGAAACTTTGCATGATTCCTTTAAATACTGTCTTGACTTAACACATGTATTTTAGCTATTCATAAGAAGTACAAAGTGAATATTAATCAATTCATGGCTTTCCTGCTGAAGATGTAAGAGTGCCAAAGGAGGCACCACTTGTATTCATGTTACTGTATGTCATGATATTTTTTTATTTTAAAGTGATACCAAAATGTCATTTTCAGCTCAGCCCTGTTAACGCCTATGGAGATACATACTTTCTATTGTTTCAATAGAATTCCTAATCTCATAAGCTTTCCTAGGGAACACTCTTGAAAATAGTATCTGTTTCCATCTACTCTAAGATTTCATAATCCAGTTTTTTTAGTCTAAATAAATCTATTTGCACTCACCTCCTACTATACGTGAAGCTACTTAAATACTGTCCACCATAGTTTCCATTTTAATTTAAGAAAGTTCATATAAATAACATGTACAAAAGCATAATGGCAGTTGACATGTAGTGTCTGAAATGCTTTCTCCTCTTAGGAGGAGATGTGAGGAATTAGAAAGAAAAGTATCATGGAAAATAACCTCATATTAGAAAATGGAAAGTAAAAGGTACATAAACTAAGGTTGAAGAAATGAGGTCCACAAGCCTCACTGATTTAGTGACTTTTCAGTCATGTGAGGAATAATGACCAATGTTTTCTCCATGAATATGCAGACAGAGAGACTTTTTAAAAAGGAAATAAGCTTTAAATGGAAAAGATTAAATTTAGATAGGAAGAAATAATCTTCCATCTTTGGATGAAAATGAAGGCTGTTAGGTGTTGAGATGATTTATTTAGAAGTACTGTGGAGTTGTTTCATTAGGAAGACATAAGAATGAGGAAGATGCAGAAGTATCTGAAATGACAGGGACTAAATGATGTTTTAAAGAGCCTCCTATTTTAATGGTGTTAATATTCTTTCCATTTATTATTTAAATTCTTTAATAACTTTCCTGATCCCATCATATTTATCATTTCATGATTAAAGCTTCTTAAGTCTTTATTGTGAAAGAAGGGAGAGATTTAAATGTTTGGTTATTTTATTGGAACACATATTTTTGTCTCCATGTCTTTCTTCTTTTACTGTTGTTTACTCCTATCAAGGAAAATTACTAACTCTAAAACTTAAAAAAAAAAAATTCCAGATTTGCACAAAAACTCCTCTAGCTAGGATCAACATAGGATCAACACTTCAGAACATATAATTTAAAATGGAAAAGGGTATCTGTAACTGAAATCCAGGTGATCCCATTTTGCTATCAACGTACAGAATTGATGTTTTGATTTCGTGAATTGTATTTTATTAGTGGTGTTTTCAGAGTGGAAAATTCTCTGGATTAGATGCTGTTTTCAACTTCCTTTTTTGTTTGTTTTCTTCTTTCTTTTTTAGTGTGTTATATAGAATTTTAAATTTCCATCACTTTGAGACAACAGTAATTTTTCTTAAATTTATCAAAGTAGTCTTTATTGTGAAAGAAGGGAGAGATTTAAATGTTTGGTTATTTTATTGGAACACATATTTTTGTCTCCATGTCTTTCTTCTTTTACTGTTGTTTACTCCTATCAAGGAAAATTACTAACTCTAAAACTTAAAAAAAAAAAAAAAATTCCAGATTTGCACAAAAACTCCTCTAGCTAGGATCAACATAGGATCAACACTTCAGAACATATAATTTATAATGGAAAAGGGTATCTGTAACTGAAATCCAGGTGATCCCAGTTTGCTATCGGTTTTATGAACATAGAGAATTGATGTTTTGATTTCGTGAATTGTATTTTATTAGTGGTGTTTTCAGAGTGAAAAATTCTCTGGATTAGATGCTGTTTTCAACTTCCTTTTTTGTTTGTTTTCTTCTTTCTTTTTTAGTGTGTTATATAGAATTTTAAATTTCCATCACTTTGAGACAACAGTAATTTTTCTTAAATTTATCAAAGGGAATAGTTACCACAGAGTGAAACTTGTAGAGAGAAGGATCAGAAATAGTAATTCCTATAACACAGAACTACACACTCTGGAACAGAATTTCTGGTACCTAAACAATGACTTGTATCAAGCACTGTGCTTTGGAAACTTAGAGAATCGAGTCAGGGTATTACTAACAACAGGGGACTATATGATGCTGGTAGAAGCTGTCAATGGTATACACACACACACACACATACACACCAGCCACCCTCCATACACCAATTGTTTCAGAACTACAGAAAGAAAATTGAGGACATGAGTTTCTATTTAAACTCATATTGCCGAGTTGAGTCAAGAATACATCAGATTCTCTTGGGCTACACTGAGTTGATTTTTTTTTTTTTTAAACACACAACATGTTCAGTGTGAAGTATCCCCATACCACAGACTCTTGAGAAGAGGCTCCAGCTTTATGGAGAATTCTTAAGCACCATGGACAGCTGCAGGTTTCTTGTAGTTCTGTAGTTTAATTCTTTAGTTCAGTTCAGTTGCTCAGTGGTGTCTGACTCTTTGCGACCCCATGGACTGCAGCATGCCAGGCCTAATTCTTAAGGACAAGTTAACAATTTCAAGGTTCATAATCCATGTGTTCACAGTGGAATTTCACCCTTTCATTTTCTGACAAGGCTGTCTCAGGTGTGCACTTTCATCTTCAAAAGGATCTTTTGCATTCCATCGTTGCAGTAGCTGGTAAATTATTATAGGTTGTCAAAGTCAAACGGATGTCCCCAAATCAGCCTCATTTGGCCTTGTTTGTCACACACAGAGGTTTTAAAAATAGAGTATAACAATGCAGGAATTGCTTGTATTGATTGGTCATGATACTAGTAGCATAGCACGTACAGGTTTATCTCTAGCTTCCTTCAACCATTTATGTTACCTTCTTGGCCCCTATGGAAATTTGACTGTGTGAACTGTATCATCAAGCTACAAAAGAATTTGGGGGAAATTTAGAGTTGTCTCAAAGACTAAGACTGTGAAAGATGATGTGACTTGCTTGAAGTCACATAATGGTGTGCTTATTAATACTTTATATATGTATTATTAAACATGGTTTCTAGGTGTAATCAACTCTATTCTATGCAGTAATGGAGACCCAAAGAGAGAATAATCCAGAAAGGTGGAT